ATCCGATCCACATTCGAAATTTTATTTTTCAATCATTTATTTTTCCAGATATTTAAAAAAAATCTAAAATAAACTTTAGAATAAAAAAACAATACGTATAAATATAATTCATTTATACTGCTTATGATGCATTTATACATATAGCTGCGTCCTTATATAACAGCGTATAATTGCACCTTAGGTAATTACAATGCAATTATATTATACTTTTTCCAACAATACATAGCTGATTCGAAAGTATTTAAAAAAATTATAAAACATATTTTATAGTACGCGATTTACGATTACGAATGATTCTCATTGCTTAATCGGAATGTATAAAAAGCGTAAAATTTGCGTCTAAATACACACGCATGTTGCTATGGATTCAGATTTTGAGAATATTTGACTACTGTTTACCACAGCTAAATGATGAGCTGTTGAGATTATTTATATATATATTATATATATAAAATATATCTTTTGTATTTAAAAGTATAGGTATACATTATAGAAACCATTCCAAATATTTATATCACATATCCCGCAAAAAAATCAATGTTATTAATAGAAGTCTTACATATAGTGTGTGCAAGTTATGTGTGTTACTTTTTTATTTGCAACTGTCGTTTTCTGCAAAAATGTATATTTAAGTGAGTAAACATCAGTTGAATTTCTCGAATGTATAATTACAAATTTGCATAAATTTACATAGTACTATACTATTTTCTTGATTTTATATATATTAATACATTTTAAATATATACAAGACGAAATTTGAAACTTCTGTACTATGTTTCGAATATCATTTCAGATTGTACGCATAAAATATCAAGACTACCGCACGCGAATATTTTATGCGAGAATATAATATGAAATCATTTTATTATCAATTTTATAAAGATAACTTTTTGCATTGAATCCGAATTTCATGATACACTTACGTATTATAATTATGAAACTGCCGATAATAATTTTTGCCATAATTGATAGCCAAATACTCAGGGAAAGATAAAGCAAACTCCGCACTTTGAACATCTTACAATCTTGAGCGAAGCAACTCGATCTTTTTGGCGGCGCGTTTCTGCAAATCAGGTAATTTCATGGCAAGTCCCATGTTGCCTTGAATTTTAACCTTGCCTTGGAAGAAAGCCTTCTGCGGATTTAATTTTCCAGAAATGAAATCCACAATATCGGTGTCGCTAATCGTGAATGTTACATCAGGTTTGGTTTTGCCATTGTACTCGACTTTGCCTTTGCCCGTTTTTGCGTCTACAATCCAATATCCTTCGGCGCCACCAGGACCATTTATAACTTTAAATCCGTAAATTCCACGCATTCTCTCAATCAGCTTCTCATCATCTTCCTCCATCGCAATTGCCAATGTCTTGAAGAGCACATCCGCTTGGAAGATACTCGAATCGGCGGCAACATTTACGTTTTTTCTGATTATCGCCTGTTTCGGGAAGCCCAAGCGATAGAGAGCCACGACGACTGCACCACCCAGACCTATGTTGTGCTGAAGTGCCAATTTTGCGTCCCGCACCTGTCTCTTGCCAGCCTCACCGCGAAGTTGCCAGGTAAGTTCAGCACATTGTGCTAATCCTGTGGCACCCAGAGGATGTCCTTTCGAGATTAGACCGCCGCTTGGATTCACAACATACTTGCCACCGTAGGTGTTATCGCCTGCGTCTATCATTTTACCGGCATGACCGGGAGCGCACAATCCTAAAGCTTCATAAGTTATTAACTCGTTTGCAGAGAAACAATCATGCAGCTCTATTACATCTACGTCGCTTGGCCTATAGTGGGTCAATGTGAAAACTTTCTCAGCTGCGTTTCTTGTCATATCATATCTGCAAAATATCACAATAGAATTAGTAAACTAACAATTGATCTTATTGGGAAACATAAATACATAATAATTGTTTATTTCTCGTACCCGACAATATTCATACACGATTGAGTGTTAAATGTCGACAACAAGTCAGTGGACATTTCCATGGCGAGGATTTCGACAGCCTGTGATTCCAGATGATGCTTATGAACGAAGTCCTCGTTAGCTAGAATGACAGCTGCTGCACCATCGGAAGTGGGACAACATTGAAGCTTCGTTAATGGTCCAAATATTTTGGGAGAATTCATAATTTGTTGCAAGGTATATTTCTCTTGAAATTGAGAATTTGGATTGTTTATAGAATGCAGATGATTCTTATATGCAATTTTTGCAAAGTGCTCGAGCTTTGTGCCATACTTCTTCATGTGCTCGATCCCAGCATTGCCAAACATTTGAGCGGCGATAGGACTCTCGGACAGACCTGTGCAATCGATGATTATAAGACAAACAAGTTAAATTAATCAAATACTATTTCATTTTATGTCTAAAAAATTCTGTAACTGACCTGCGATATCTGCCATGAGCTCTACATGCTTATCCATGGGATTCGTGCGATCTGAAAATTTGGACATTAGGGAGCCTCGCTCCATTTTCTCAAATCCAAGCGCTAGAACGCAATCCGCGTTGCCGCTCTCAACGATCTGTTTGCCAAGGTGGAGAGCTGTGGAGCCGGTGGAACAGTTATTGTTGACATTGTAAATGGGACATCCAGTGAGTCCAATCTCGTAGATTGCCCTTTGACCGCAAGTGGAGTCGCCGTACACGTACCCAACGCAGACGGCCTGCACGTTGTTGTAGGACACGCTTGCGTCCCGCAGAGCCTTGGTAACCGCCTCCTTCGCCATTTGCGGATAATCGAAATCATCCCTGCGGCCGGGCTTCTCGAACTTGGTCATCCCGACGCCGATCACGTACACTTTCGGCTTGTGAACCATCCTGGCGATCTGTCTCTTCGGGCACGAGTGAAATTTCACGGGAAATTTCTGTATTTAGCAAAACACGAGCGAGAACAGTTTTGCGAGAATTCCTCGTGTGACGTTCAAGTAGTGAAAGTAGAAACGGAAAAAGAGAAAAAGAAGTGACACACGTAACGTCGCTGCTACAGGATTACGCTTGCTACGAGATTAAGCAATCAAATCGCGAGACGTACTTTATTGGACTTTAATCTTTCATATATTAGGGTAAAAAAAGATTGCGATAAAAAGCAGAAATTACAATGACAAGGCGGTTTCCAGCGGAAGCCAACGTCTTCGATTCACGATAACGAGCCGAACGAGTGACGATCACATCTCAGTTCTCACCACGGCGCGAGTAACGACCTAGATCGTTGTCTCTGGTGAAAATAATACACTACGCGCAAGGTGTTACTTCATTGCGAAAACACGTAATCGTGCCTCACGCAAAATGTTTCTCTATCGGGGAAACTTTCTATTCAATTAATAATAATAATAATAATAATATACACTTCGCATAAATTTATGCGAAGTATATATTATTAAAGTTATGCGCAATGTTTTAATAAATGGATGCGCGAAACATAACGATTGCCTTTTGTCAAGGCCAGAATATTTATGATCTTCAATTGAAGAATAATGTTTACGAATATTTCATTTCCCTTGTAAATCTGTCCATTTCCTGTACGCACTATTTTAGGAAACAAAAAAAACCTATAAATAAAGGAAAAAAAACATGATTATGCATTTATGATGAAATTAATAATAAAATTTGTGATAATTAAAAAGAATTGTATTTTAAACTGAGAAAATTTCCAAATAAATATTTTCAAATGAGAGGCTCCAACATTGCTTTCTATTTATAGCAACACGGATTGACACAGACATCATTTTATCTTTCTTGATATTAAAACGAACTCAAAACAACGATACTCGTGTGATCAAATGGAAAGAGCTCCCCATAGCTCTCAAAGCAGTTACTTCAGCTTACACAAGTTTTATCAGCAATACATTCCTGGTGAAAATAAAAATCGGAGCGTAAATCGAATAGAAGCGTAATCGCCTCTTTTACGTTTCGTTGTTTCAATTTTCGCTTCCTAGAAGCTTCGTTTCTGTTACTCTCCCATTATATTCGATTTACGCCTCGATTTTTATTTTCATCAGAGCGATTGAATGCCATTTAATGACACACAAGTTGATACACGTGCCGTTTTATCTTTTTTATTCACTGAATATCAAGAAAGATAGAACTGACATTAAAATGAAAAGCACTCAGCATCAATGTTATGTTACTTTGTGTTCACGACGTATAAATTAATAAATAAATGTAATGTAATATTTGTCCTTTGAACTACATCACCGATGAGTTAGTATTAAAGACCGTTAACCCTGGGCAAAATTTTTGGCGGTATAAAAAGGGCCCCAAGGGCCTGCAGGTAATTGAAGAATGCTGACATTATCGATGATTGATATAAATTTGCTATTATTAACATAAATATTTAACTCATACATTATTAAATTCATGATTTTTTATTACATAAATAAATATGTATACTTGTAAAGCTGTAATATCCTATATATTGCAGAAAAATTACAATTTTTTTCTCTGCAGTTATCATCTCTGTTGATAATCAAACATTGACGATAACACTGAAATTACAATTTTAAAGAAAAATCGAGTATTATTGAATTCTAAATGCATAAATACGTTTACTAAACTAATAAATCATCAAATTAGTACAATATTATCAGTTTTTAACTCTTAATTACTTACTTAATATTCACAAGGACGCGAACTCCCGTAAGGATGTCGGTCTTTAATAGTATCTCGTCGGTGACTACATTTATTTCTTATACCTGAAAATCATTGCTGTAATTGATGAAATAGCAATGTGGCAAGTGAAATTATTTTATACATAAACTCTCCTCCCTTTGAAAATTCAAACGCGTACACCTGCGCGTTCCATCCGAGGAAGATAAAAGCCGCGAATGAACTAGAATGAACTAACCCGTTTAAAGTATCCGCGCATTGGCGCAGACTCGCCGAATGTCTACGCCGCTGAACGGCGCTGCGCCGGCCATTGCGCGGTCGTGTTTTGGCCGAGCGAAAAGATGGCGGATCGTTGTTTTCGATATCGTTCGCGCTCACAACACGTCGCCGAAGTACGTCGAAGTTTAGCGCAACTTTGAGGTCAATCCCGCGCGAAAGTTGACATGCCGTACGTGCACCAGTCCCGGCTGTAATAGATAGTCGTTGTGCCAGTGACAATCGCCGGTGTGACTTTATCGCGCACTACTCACTGCATCGTTTCGGCGTCATTGTCGCCGCCGTCGTGGTGGTGTTAGTAGTGGGCATCGTTGTGGTCGTTTGATCGTCGTTGTTGCCCCGTATGAAGAAAGCGGTGTAAATCACACAAAATTTTTGGATCTTGACGAGTAATTCCGACAATTTGTCGCCAGCGCGTCCAAGAGTCGGTGTAAACAGGCGCGAGGACGCCATCGAGTCGGTAAAATGGTTACGCATCACTGCGAGTTTTTCTAACCCTCTCTTGTCGCTGTTTACCGCTCCCCCGCAAGAGACACGATTTTGGTTAGGTTACTCAAGCTGGGATTCGCACATCCTATGACACCGGAACGCCGTCGCGCGTGTTCCTCGCGGTGGCCCATGTTGACAATGTGACGCGACATTGGAATCTGCGATTTGATAATCGATGGATAACACATTCGCGATGGCAAACGATTTTGACGCAGAGCAATTCGAGCGGAGGCTCCACGCGCTGAAAGACTCGCAGGAGTCTATTCAGGGCCTCTCTGCATGGTGCCTCGATAGGAGACATCACCATAAGAAGATTGTCACTACGTGGCTACAGGTTTTAAAGAAAGGTAAACGCCGAATTTCATTTTCTGTGTTCAGCTGAAAAAACAGCTTTCCTACTGTTGTAAAATTCTTTAATATGATTGGTTTTGCCCTTAGTTCCTCACTGGATCTAAATGTATAAACTGATATCATATTAAAGAATTTTACAATACTTGTAAAATTGTTTTATTTGCTGAACGCAGTTATAGAGTAATTATGATAGATTTACTCTCATAGATGTAAAATATTATCTTTTATTACAAATAAGATTATTTACTGTATTTGTGTTAGATTATTCATATATGGAACTTACATAACTCTATCATATCAAATATTCCGTAACTTCTATTTGTCTTAAATATTTATTTTTAAAATACATGGTTACTAAGTAAAGAATGAAATACATAGGTAACATATACTAGATGAAATACACCGTTACTACATAAAATTTATTTTTTTTTTATAACAGTGAAAGTGGAACATCGGCTCACATTATTCTATTTGGCCAACGATGTCATTCAATATTCAAAGAGGAAGAATTTTGAGTTTGTGGAGTCATGGGGCACTACTCTGCAACGTGCGACACCCATGGTTCGCGACGAGAAAGTAAAGCATCGTATTCTGAGAATTTTCAAAATCTGGGATCAACGGCAAGTCTATGATGAGGAGTTTCTTGCCGATCTATCCGGCTTAATTTCAGCGGCACCAAAAAAGAAATTGGACCCTCCACCAACCACACAGTCTGAAGAGTTTCAGGCAGCTTTGCTCATTTCTACAATGAGGTCTTGTGCAACTCTGGAACAAGCTACTGATGCTAGATTACGTGATCTACGGGAAAGTAACATAGACATAGAATCTGCAGAAGAGTTACGTTCGTCGTTAAAGGACAGAAGACGTATGGAAGATGCAGAGAAAGAAATAGATTTAGTCGCTAGGAATGTCGAAAATTATGTTCGTTCATTGGAAGCAGAGATTAGGGAAAGGGCACAAGTGGTTGAATTATTGGACCAAGCGGATCAGTTTTATGAGACTCAACGTGGGGAAGTTAAAATAGTAACGAATGTAAGGGACAGATTTTGTTGCAAAGTGATTCAATATTACTGGTTTTTCATATTATATTTTTCATAAATAGGCGTACCGAAATTTTGGCAGTCGTGTCAAAAATTTGAAGAAAAAGTTAGATGAATTACTACCTACGTTCATCTCGCCTATACCATCACCGGATATTAACGCGCCCTCGCCGAGTCCTGACAGTGATATAGAGCTACCAGGAGAAGAAACTCAGTCAGTAGCTAATCAATCGGTAATGATCGACGTGGCACCACCGTCTTTGTACGGTTCATATTCTCACGAATATGAACCTATTCCTGTACCTGCACCTGACATGGTACAAGGCAATGAGTCGACGGATTTTACCAATAATTTTCCTTCTTTTATGGGGGGAAATGTAGATTTTGGTAATATGGTAAGAATAAAGAAATAGTTTCATATATATCGTTTTATAAAGGAAAGTTTTGCATTGGTTTAAACATTCGGTACATTGTATATTATTCCTTTTGTTTTTTTTTTTTTTTTTAGAGAAACATATTTAACGAAACCTCTGAGGCATCTCCTGGGATGTCTCAACAGTATAATGAATCTTTAGAGGTAATTATTCATATTATTTACATTTGCAACATTCTATCAAAATGCGCTTTATGAATTTTATGATTTTCAGGCAAAACCAATAGAAGTAATTAATATGAGACCTTCAAAAGATGAACAGAACAGTGCAGATTTTAATATATCTAGTTTCCTGAAGACGGTTCTTCCATCATCTGATGGAACGTCAGACTCGAGTGCAATTCCAGGTTTAGGCCTGGACGTTTCCGAAAATCAAGTGGAATCGCCACAACGTCCCAATTATTCGCCCTCGCTAGGGCCTGTAACGCCTGTGGTTTCAAGAATGATGAGTAATCAGGGCACACCAATCGTTAGTGGAGGCGGTAGTTTAAATAATTGTCAGATGAGTCACAGTACCCCAATATCGGTTCGCAATCTGCCCGAGTCTCACACCCCTTCTCCGTATTCCAATCAAAACAGTCAGAATAACATAGCTGGTCTCTTTGACGGACCCACCAACAATACAGTTAACCCTTTACCTCCTCCACCCTTACCACCTCTCTTCCTTGATGATGAGAATTGTTACAATAAGTTACCACCAAAATTTCCCACATGGACGTCGGCGAACGAGAGTATTAAGGACGCTGCAAAATGGGAGGAAAAAGGTATAAATAATATTTTATGATTCAATCGTTAAAACTTCTTTATGATTATTCTACAATAATGCATAGTGTTCGTTATAATAAATTTTGCTACATGTTTAGGTAAGAATAGCATGAATCCTGCGTGGCCTGGCGATTGTGATGATAAAAATAAGAATTCCTGGATGGATGGCGATGGAGATAGATGGGACTCCAATAACGATTCCACATGGCCGGTCAGTGACAGAACAAAAAATGACATGCTATCCGAGACTCCAGAATCGCCGCCCATGTATGAAAAAGCTGGTTTTGCCGAGCCGGTGGAATACAACGAGCCACAACCACAAGAATCTCTAAATACTACAGGAGATGTAGATCATA